CTAGGCTTCGGTTCGATGTCGGGGCGAGCCAGATGCAGATTATGTGTTTATGATATATGTTATGTTGTGTATGTGTCGGGGTAAGCCCGATGCCGGGGTGAGCCCGATGGCCGATGCGGTCGGATGCCGGGGTGAGCCCGATGCCAGACAGGAGTTCGATGTCGGGTAAGCCGATGTCGGGATTCATCCCGATGCAGTTGGGTGTAGTCCCAGAGTTATGTTATTTTTTATACATGATTTGTATGGTATGTGGTAGTTTGGGGGAGCTCACTAAGCTTCGTGCTTACAGTTTCAATTTTGGTTTCAGGTACTTCAGCTAGCAAGGGAAAGAGCTCGGGATGATGGCATGGCACACACCACAATTTTCTTAGCCTGGGAGTTTACTCTGATATTTTATATGAGATTGTGATATGATGACAGATTTTATGAGATTTTGAGATACATGTTTTATGATCCTATACTATGGCGATGATATTAATGTTTGTTAAATGATTTTGAAAACGAAATTTTTGGCTAGTATTTTTGGGATGTTTCAGGGCGACCAAGAATAATTGGAACATCGACATCTTTCATGTCCATAACCACAAAATCAATTGGAAAAACAAATTTCCCAATTTTTACTAAGATGTCTTCTACAATGCCCCTAGGTTGTGTCACTGAACGGTTGGCCATGTGAATGGTCATTCTTGTAGCCTTCAATTTCGGAATATTGAGCATCTTATAAAATGAGAAAGGCATCAAATTTATGCTAGCCCCAGAATCGGCTAAAGCATATGTCTTCAAATTATTACCAAATTCACACGGAAGAGTGAGGCATCTAGGATCTCCCATCTTCTTTGGTAACTCTCCCAATACAACTCTTGAACTTTGTTCACTAAGAATCACCTTGGAATTTTTCTTCAATTGTTATCGAGTATCTATTAAGTCTTGTATGAACTTTGCATATTCGGGCACCTTAGATAACGACCGAAGAAAAGGAGTATTTATTGGAATACCCTTCACATGCTTTAGAAACTCCAGATGGTCTCGTTCCAGTGGACGAAGATTAGCTCGGGACGGAAACGGTAAAGGAGGACGATAAGCCGGAATAGTTGCTTAAATTTTTTGTTCAGACTGGGCCCACGTCGTGAGCATAGAAGGCTCACGTCGTGAGTTCGGTATTTCAGCAAAAGTTTTATTTTCGATTTTTGACTTTTTCAGCTTGGGTTCGGAAGGTTTTGGCTCCTCTTCTAGTGCTTATAGGAACTCAGAAATCGCCTCTTCTTCAGTATCGATCATCATGACATGGGATTGAGTCTTTTTATCTGGTAATTGTGAAGATAAATTTTCGTTCACCAAAGTTGTGGATTGATGCTTGATGATTTCTTAATAGGGCTTATTGGTTAATCATCATAGCTTGTTGATCTTTCATCATCTTCATTTGATCTTTCAATACTGCATCAGTATCATCATGCCTGTTCTCAGAAGCTTCCATAAAACGAACTAGCATGTTCTCCAAGTCAACTTTCTTCTCTGCTGATGGTTGCTCTTTTTGTTAGAAGTCTCGACTTGTCTGCCTATATTTTTCTTCCTTTTTCTTCTTGTATTCATCATATGGCAGCCACCCCTTCTTTGGTTTTCTCCAGTCTTCATCATATTTATCCCCACTTGAGTAGCAAACTTGAGCTCTTCTGTTCCCATTATCATCTAAGTGGCAATATTTGTCAAGTGTGGACCATTGCACCTTTCACAATGAATATGCTTATTAGTACATCTAGGGAATTAATGGAATCCACGAATTTGCTCATGATTTTAGTAAAATATTGTATTTTCATTGTTTTGTTATTAAGGCTTTGTGGTTTGTTCCCCAATCTATATGGATTTAGGGAAAATTCTTACATTATGCATTTGGTAACCGTAAGGAGGGACCTTTTTGTCAACAAAAACTTTTATAAATTAGATTTGGAATATTAAAACAATGAAATGTAAATGTTTTTTTACCTGGTTATTCATATGGGACCTGGGATAAATGTTGAGGAATTGAAAAGTAACTAATTACTATTGGGAATATTATTAATGAGCCAAAAAGTTTCAACCTTTGAATCTGACTCGGTTACTTACGTAACAGAAGGTATCCACATGTTTCTTGGTTTTTGTATATGGTTGTGGAATTGAGAATTGTCATAATTGCCCTTGGCATTTGGTTGTTTAATATATTTACTACATATATGATATATTGAATTTTCTAACGTTTATAAATTTAAAGTGTATTACGGTCAATTGGAATATCTTAGAAATGCATTCGCCTACCTACTATTTGAACATATTTTGTTGTTGGAATGTTTAATGAGATTGAGCATGTACTTCCAACTTTCAGAAATTGGTTGCTCTGATGCTTCTTGATGCTTTTGAGTAAGTTTCCATATTTATGTAATATAGTATTTTTAGTCTTTAAACTTCAAATAATTTATCCACTAGATTCAGTTTGATGATACGCAGGTTAGTCATGGTGATGTTGACTTCTTTATGGAAGATATTGACCAAGCTACACATTGTCTAAGAAAACATCAACTTACCATCAATGATTAATTACTTCCATTCCACTCTTGTTAAATGAAAGTAATTATTTTCCAAAATTTTGTGACCTCCTTCAAAAATATCTCGTGCTCTCATACAATAAGGCACCGCCTCTCACCAGTTTCAGAACTGTAAATACTATCCAGGTTAGTTTATTGAGCCATAGAATTTTTTTTTTTCTTTCTTTTTGATAAAAGATTGGAATTTTCCGCAACCTAATTTTTCTAAATTTATGTTTTTAATCAATTGTTTTAAAGGAAGTCAGACTTGAAAGGATATTGGTTTTGGGTTAAGATTCAATTTTGAGATTTTGATATCTTGGTTTCATTCGATTCGTGACAAGAAGTTAAATTCAAATAGACCATGGTTAATGTTTTTTCTAAGGAAGGTATCTTAGGGAAAGGAAGGGAATTGTTTGTTGTAATAAAAAAGAATGGCTTCCTGCCAAATTAAATATAGATGGTTCAGCCGAAATCTCAGTGATGACACTGTAAATAATGGTGGAATAGTCACCTCTTCTTCGTTGGTTTCTGAGATTGAGGCCTCTAAAATGACAGTGATGATTCAGATGATGACATATCCGGGAAGATTCTTGTAACCTTCATTGTTGGTATAAAGTTTGGTGAAGAAGGGGAATTACATACATGAACAAATATATCTCTCAGTAGAGATCCTAAAAATACTAAGGACCCTAATGCCATTAAGGTTAGTTAACTATTTGTTGTATTGGTTACATAATGATTTCAAATGTCCGGCAAATGATTAAAGAATCACATGGATTTTGATACAGGTTCTTTCTGCAGAATCCGGATGCAATAAAGTGCATGGTTATATACCTCGAGAGCTTGCTGAACATTTATCAAAATGAATGGACACATTTGGATAGATATTTAAGGTATGATATAACTAATTTTCCCTCGAATACTACCTATTTATTGCTAAATAAAGCATCTGATTTTCTCAACATGATTTTATTACAGGGTCGTATTATGTCTATGTCCATTCCTGGACATTCTCATGCTATTGTCTAAGAGTTTTTGAAGACAACTGCTCATGTTTTCACAGAAATTGAAAAGACTTTATTAGGTGCTTATATTGCATTCAGTTTCATTTATATAAATACTGACCGTTTAAGAAACATATCACAAACCCTGGAACACAATCAACAATTTGGACAACTTTATATACTTATAAAACAATAACAATATATTCACAAAAAACTTAGGATTCTACAAATAAAAATTAAGGAATGTCATTCGTTTGGAATCAACTGAAGGCTTCCAATCATCACAAAGCGAGTAACCTTCACTAGTTATTAAGTAAACGTGGGAGTGGAGTACACTCCATCATTCATTGTTTTTATATAAGAATGTAATCCCACTACTACATGATTATCGGTAGTGGGTAAACTTTATCTAGCTTCCTTCCATTTAAATGTAGCTATCATTTAATGTAATATGTCAAGATTATGAATTGCAATATTTTTTCAAGTTTAAGTAAAAGTCTCTTTCATAGTCGACCATTTTCTTTACTTCCATAATAGTAAAAACTCATTCTTTGTGTATTATACTTCAACCATAACATACAAGTATGTACACAATCCTTTAAATTTCTAACAATTGGTATCAGAGCGAGGTTGTGTGAGGTTGTGTATGCCCAAGTATATCCCAAGAATGTCAACACCGACTTCGTCATCTTCTCCACCTAAATATGAAAGTGTTCAAATTACCAAGAACAATGGTGGTGTTACGTTACACTATCCAATGCTTACAAAGATGAACTATGTGGTGTGGGATATAAAAATGCAAGTGAATTTGCAAGCACAAGGAGTGTGGGATGCAGTTCAAATAGCAATAGTGGAGGTACGGAAAGATCGCATGGCTCTTGCGGCCATTAACCAAGCGATCCCGAAGGGCATACTTCTAATGTTATCCGAGAACGACACCGCTAAAGAAGCATGGGAAATGCTTAAGACGATGCACATGAGAGCTGATTGTTTAAAAGAGGCGAAGATACAAACCTTGAGAAGTGACTTCGAGGTTATCCAAATGAAGGACGGCGAATCGGTGGATGATTTTTTCATGAGATTAAATACCATAGTCACTGGTATTCGATCTCTAGGAGGAAAAATTGAGGAAATCATGGTGGTGAAGAAGTTCCTTGGAGCTGTCCCTTTACGATTTATGCAAATTGTAACATCTATCGAAGAATTTGGTGATTTAAGAAACATGACTTTGGAAGAGGTTGTGGGTCATTTAAAAACCCATGAAGAAAGACTTCGAGGTTATGGAGAACAAGGAGACGAACCTTCTTCATGTCTTGGACAAATATGTCGTGTTGCATTCTCATCTTCTTTAAACAAGTCATCATTCTCTACTGGACAAAGTTTGTTGAGGAAATGATCATTGAAGTTTGAGAGATATAACCACATCATCCTCTTCATGTTAAGTTTTTAGACCATCTTTTAAAACGAAGTCAACATCATCAATAGAAACCAAATCATCTTCAAGGTTTGTTTCTTCCTCCTGAATCCAATCAAACAAAGGTTCATGATAATGATCCACATACATGTACAATCTCTTCTTTCCATTGGCAACTTCAAGAAACTTGTTAAAATCACAGTCATTCTATATGACATGCAATCCCTCAGACAAACTCACTTCATGTGGAAAAAAAATACACATCTCTGACTCAACGTTAGTAAGCTTTTCAAGAAAATGGGTGAAATCGGGGAATGTCATATTGTTCACAACCTTGTATGGTATAGAGGCTATGTCTGCATCAAAATACATCAATGGGGAAGGTGCGAACGTCCCATTATAATGTGCATGAATGATTGGATTTGTATCTTTTTCCATCGCTATTGTGATTGTGATTCAAGAAGCTTGAGAGCAACAGTGAGTAATGGAATGGTGTAATAGAGGAATGTTGGCTAAGTAAATAAGCCTTAATTGCATGTTATCATCTAGATAGGGGTGTAATGTTACCCTATCCACGTAAGCTGCCATGTGGACGCCACATGGCAATTTCATTTCATCAAAAGAAAATGATAATCGAATATGATCGGTATATCGGGTATAATGGGTATAGCCGGTCAAAAGGAGTGCATGATTACAAAAAAAATCCAGTATAAAGGCTTATTTTACACACACAAAAAAAAAGATTAAGTACTAAATATGTAGATATCAAAAAGTAAGATAGGTTATAAGGCTGGAAGGAGTGGTGCCACCGAAACCAACTCCCTTCACTGCCACATGTGCGTCACATCACTTTTTACCACACAAGTGTGATTTCTTGCCACACCCAAGGAATGGTGCCACACTTTTTTTTTTAATAATTTAATTAAATAAAACTTCATTTTTAATAAAAAAACATAATTTTTCAATACATCAAAATATAAAAACATTACATTGCATTACTAAAAAAAACACATACCATTAAAAAAATCCTACAAACTTAAGAAACACACATCAAACGATTAAAATAAATTAAAAAACACAAATAAAATAACCATACTACATAAAGTCGTTATCCAAGAACTCGTCTTCCGAGTCATCCGCTGGATCCAAATTATGGTTAATGTGTTGAATCCCGTAAATATGTTCCACCAAGTACGTGCGAAAGTTGTGAAATGTTTCAGTGCAACTTATCTCTGTTCTCCTGTTCATATACTCTTCGCCACCAATTTCTATTGGTTGTGTCTCGGGTATGGTTTCTTCCTCGTCAAACGCACATATCGCTCTTCCTTCGTCTTCAATAATCATGTTATGCAATATTAGACATGTATACTTGATTTCTTGAAGTTTTTCCTCGCCGAAATAAATTGCTAGTTTTTTTCAATATGAACCAATGTTTCTTAAGAGCTCCAAAAGCACGCTCGACATCCTTCCTAGCTCTTTCTTGAGCTCTCTTGAATTTTTTTCGTCTAGAACCATGTGGACACGTAAACGATTTAACAAACACAACATACTCATGATAGATCCCATCAACCAGATAATAACCATACTTATATGGCGTTCCATGCACTTCAAAAGAAGAATCTGGTGCAGATTCATCATATATGTTGTTAAATATATGTGAACGATTAAGAACGTTGATGTTGTTAACCGAACCGGGAGAACCAAAAAAAGCATGTCAAATCCACATATCCTGTGATGCAACTGCCTCAAGTATGACCATTGAATGACCATGATCACCTCGGGTAAATTGCCCATGGTGTGAGGTAAGGCAATTTTCCCATGCCCAATGAAGACAATCTAAACTTCCTAGCATTCCAGGTAACCCATGCACATTAGCATGATGAGATTGCAATTGTAAGATGTCATTACGTGTAGGCTTACGTAAATATTTTGGACCATAAAACTAAATCACAGTTTTACAAAAATAGTGGAGACTATCTCGTGTAATCCTCGCAGACATCCTAAGACTCTCGTCCAACGCATCAGGTGTAATGTCGTATGCTAACAAACTGACGAAGTGCGGCCGTGCATTTTTGTGAGGGAGTGAAACCAGGTCTACCTCTAGCATCGTAACGTTGTTGGAAAAAACTGCACTTCGTCGTTACATCTTCAATTATAGGTTTGTATAAACGTTTGAACATTCTGAAGCGCCTACGAAAATAGTATCCTTGATAAGTGACATTCTCTTGAAAGTAGTCTTGTATCAAACGTTGACTGGTTTCTTCACCATTTCTGCATATATATCTTCGTGTCCTCCATTGAGAACTTTCGGCTGCGTTATTGCATAAAACATCATACGTTTGTTCCGCCATTTGGACACAAGCAATAGCAGCATAAAAAATAACTTGAAATTCTTCAAAAGATGAAGAAGATGACATTTTCTATTAATTTTGAGAGAGCAAGTAATAGAGAAATGTAAATGTTTGGTTTTAGTTTGAACAAATGAAATAAATGGTTTAATTTATCGGAAAGAAAAAAAAACTTAAATATTAACAGTTTTGACTGTTCAACGGTCAAATTCACTATTACCCAATCAAAAAACACGGCCAAAAAGGGGTGAGGTGCGGTCTAACCGCACTCGAAACCGCATGGGGCGGGGGGGGGGGGGGGGGGTGTTCCCCTGTCATGTGGCAAACCATGCGGTAGAAACCGCATCACTCCCTATAGTCTAAGTCATCCTTTCCACAAAATGGGATAAGGTGGATGAAATGAAGAAAAACGGTGATTTAAAAAAAAAAAACATCTAATTTGAATTATACAATTTTATGGTCGGATACTCGTGTTGCGACGACCTTGACTTCTCCCAATAAACGTATGCTGCCCCAACATTTATTTGAATTATACAATTTAGGACTCAAGGTGTATAGTAACCATCCGTTTCTTACAAAGGTTGACATCGTGGGCCAACATTTAATACATATTTTCATTTTATAACCATCTATCTTATTTCAAATTTACAGTATTATGTATTGTGTTTAGATATTTTTCATACTACTACAAGTTTTATATTAACTTTAAAATATAAAAAAAGAAATTACGCCATTAAATAAGAGCTAATTGATACGTTCAAAATAAAATCAATATTGAAAATATTTTACTAAACTTTTTTATCATAAATTTTAGTTTTAGTTTTATAAAACAAAGACAAATATTAAACATGTTTTTGGTTTTATAAACATTTTTTGTTTTTGTTTTATAATTTTAAATATGAAATATAGATATTAAAATAATAAAACCATGAGACCCATTAATCAAATACACATCTACATCGCTTAATAATCAAAGTTGACTGTAAGGACTTAAAACAATATATAGGAAGAATTGCTGAAAAATATTGTTTAATACAACATGGTATTTATTAAATAGCTGAACACATACATCTGGACTATTGCTAGATATTCATATTACAATGTTTGATACTTTTGAATACTACTTCTGTATAGCTACACAATCTTCAAAAATTTTCCTAAGCAGCATTTATTCTTCAGCACTAGAATACAACTAAGGAACCATAATTTGAGCCTATCATGGTAATCATACCATATCCATCACGATGTGAAAAGATGATATGAATTGCCGGGTAAGCCATATATAAACCCGTTGACCCATTGAAGAATTTAGGAGTAGAGAATGCAACTAATATGACTATGAAAGGAGTATTGGGGCAACAACTTTAGTCACACCTCCAAGAACTTGCACAGCACCGTTACTTTCTGTGTCAGAGTTTTCCATAGCCTCAACAATTGCTATAATTGTGATCACAAACGCAAAGTCCACATTGGGAGAAATGGTCACCTTGAATTTGTCATTAACGAACTTTACAATATTCTCCGATAACTGCATTTTGGACATCTACAGGAATAAATATGTCATTAGTAACTTTCAGATTGAGCTTTAAGTTACTTACAGAATCTTTTGAGTTATACAGACATAACTAAAAACATGGAAAACTCTACTAGAAAACCAACTAAAAAAGGTTTGAAAATTAAATTACTTGGGCTATTGTGGTTGAAGTATCTCCCATATAAATAGTGCAGTTTCTCTTCGACCAGCTTCCTTCGACCTTGAAATCACAAACATTTTTACTATTGGTTTTGTTTGCCAAGAACACATTTACATCACTCTTAAACAGCTGGATCACGCAAGGTTTTTTTGTGGTAAATATCATATCCGATTTGCTTTCACTGTCACCCCTGAATACATACCATCCATCGTGTATAGTCATGCTCTGGAAAATAAATCAGTCGATTAAAATGTTAAATTTAGCATCAAAATAACAAAATTTCAAAACAACCCAAAGAACTAAAAAATATATATTAAAAATTAAAGTTAATAAAGTCACCTTATCGCGCATCACAACGATGGGTTGGTCATCAACATCGAGTAGTACTCGCCGCTCATGAAAGAATGAGTCGCATGGTTTCACTTTGAACATGGTTTTATGGTTAATATCTGTAATCAAAAGGATTCCGCTTGAAATTCTATCAACTATAATATCGAGTTGATGTGGTGCCATGAATTGTGACCCTATCACAGAAACCGGAGAGAATGAAGGTGCTTTGTTGCGTTCAGCCATCGTCAATACTCCACACTGCAGAGAGGTCGTTCTTGATAGAGAGTATGAGTGAAAGGCTTCTTACATATAAGAAAGAATTGTCTCTATGGGGGGTTACTTTTCTTGAGTTATATAGGAAGTTTCTCAGGAAACAACGCAGCATTGTATTGGCAAATTAAGCCTGACCTCGTCTCTGGTGTAGTGGTCTCTTATTTGGTGAGAATGATATATATATATATATATAATATATATATATATATATATATATATATATATATATATATAATATATATATATAATATATATATATATATAACTTTGATCATTTTTTGTCTTATGATTTGTTTAACTCACATTTTATGTCATGAACTTTACCCATATGATTTTTAACATGTTTACTAGAGTTTTAACATGTCACTTACATGTTTATATTTAAAATGCACACAATGAAACTTGTAGTAACCTAGTTGTATACGTACCACCTAAAATAAACACAAAATAGCAACAAACTTTTTAGAACATAAGACAAGTATGTATCTTCCCCAAAAATCCTAAATCATAAAATGGGGCTATCAAGACTTACCCTTTATGCATGATTTTGTGTTAGATTCGAAGAACAAGACTAGGATCGTGATTTTCTCGACTTTAGATCTAGGAGCTTTTTGGACCAAACCAAAACCCGAATCTTGTTAATCTTAATATAAGGAACTCAAAGATCAACTCCTTTTAGACCCAACAACCACAAGGGTTTTTTGTTTTTTTTTTAAACAGAAAAATGAAGACGGGGTTGTTGTGTTCGAGTTTTAGAAACAAGAGGTTGATGGAGTGTGGTTCCCGGGTGGTTGATCGGTTGAGAGAGGATGAGGCAGCCGACTTCACCCACGGTCCTTCATGGCCTCCTTGTCCTCATCGTCGGCAACAAGTTCGAATGGGGAAAGCCAACAACAAAAGCGACGATAAGGGGTGTTTGGCTGTTGGGATTGATGAACAAAAGGATAGGGAGGAAGGAGGAGGCTTTCACCATAGGTTGTTGGCTGGAAAACCCACCTTTGGTGGTGGATTTCTCTAACCGAGAGCAAGAAGAGGGAGGAGGGAGAGGAGAGTATAGAGAATGATTGGATGTAGAAGAAAAGTGAAGAGTGTAAGCAACAAAGAAGAAAATTTTATGGACATATAAGTCAATTATGCATGTACTTGGTACCTTAGGATGATTGTGGCAATTCATGATGTCATTCTTCCCCACTTTTCTCAATTTGTGTGCCATCCTTCCCGGTATCTAATATTTTTTCCGAAAGTGGCAAATGATAGTCTCGAGTGTGAGGTTTCCAAAACTCATACGGATCTTAAATCCAATGTGTAGAACTTCGGGAAAAGACGTTTAAAGTTTTGGGTCTAATTCAACTCGATTCGACAATTTTGCGACTTTGAAAATTTTATCGGTTAAAAATATTGCGATTATGAAATCAACTATTAGACATATGTCTTAGTTCAAAAAAGTTCTTGGAATTTCCATATGAGATGTGCAATTACCTCAACGAATCAGTTCAGTTTTTGTTTATTAAGAAAACAAATATTATACCGATTTGTTTTTCTAAAACGGGCATATTTTCTGCATATGATCTTCGTTTTTGACGTTTTTTATATCCATGAAGTCTTGAGAGTATAATCTATCCAATTTGATCATAAATTGGTCCTAATTATACTCAATGCAAAAAAATTATTTTAACACAATAAATAGTATTAATTTTTGTGGTTTTTGTTTTGATCTTTAACTTTAGACAGTTTGTTGGGCAATTTGAGATATTCTGAATGTAATTAGGAGTATAATATATTTAATATACATTATTAACACATGATTACATACATTAGGTCTTAATACAACAGGTGTCACGGTGGATCGACCGACTAACCTTGACCTAAAATTACCAATTGTTACATTCTCCCCATTAAAAGAATTTCAGCCAGAAATTCAGCTTGTAGTCAGGGTATCTATGAGAATTAGGGTTTTTTTCATTATGCTTGATCTCGCATATGATCCTTCTATAGTTTTCTTATGCATGTGAGTCGTATATATTTCAAAGGTCCTTCGTGTCGTAGGTTTAACTTACATTGATCTCTAAACCAAATTATTCCTCCAAAAGGAAGTGTTTCTTGTTGATGTTTGTTTTTAGCCTTAAATCATTCATGGTCCATATAATCTATTTTGTAATCTCTTGAATGGTTTTTTTTTTTGGACCAGTAAGCAGTGTGCTACTTACATGTTCTTTCGTTGGTTATGTATCTCTAACCGTTATTCAACATATTGGGAATTGGCACTTTCATTCGTACAAAGCCTCATACGGTGTGACTTTTATGCTAGTGTGATAATTGTTGTTGAAAGACTCAATCATTAGTAATTGGGTGTTATGTGTTCTTCCAAGGTCTATCACTTATGCTTGGAGCCTATCTTTCAAAGTTTGGATAATTTTTCCCATTAAGACTGGCAAACCGTGTTCATACCTAGGTGCATCCCTAAGAATTTGTGCAGTGTTAGCCTACACTGTTAGGTGATTCTATTATCCCTATCCGCGACAATAGAAATCAACATCTTGTGTAGTTTTGATGGTTTATTAAGATAAGTCTTGGTCAACTTTTCTATCTTACTCGTTTTCTTTGTTCGATAGGAAGTGGGCAGACTTAACCACTACTCAAATAGTATCAAGAACACTATGCGTCTTGGGTAATTATGTTATGAATTTTCATTAAAAATGTACACCCACTTTGTTAAAATGTACACTCAGGTATTTCCGATTGTTGGAATAAACCCGATGGTTTCTGATGTCGCTGAATTGGTGCGTCCAGTTTTGATTCGTAAAGTGTTGCGTTTTGTCATCTCTAAGCTCGATTCTATTATTTTTTCCATACAAAGCTTCACTCTTGATGTCTTTCTATTTTAGAGACTTGAATTGAGCTTCTTAAATCTATGTTGTAAGGTTGGAATGGACCGTCATTGTTTAAAGATCGCACCCAACAAGGTTTGGCTCGTTCTTTTTGGCTCAAGGCATCTGCTGCCATGTCATCCTTGTCTTTTTTTTATTAACACACATCCTAATATTTGATAAGACGTGTTGTCGTATACGACACAATGTTCAGTTCTTTCATGAAGCGGGTATGATTGGTGCGCTACCCAACATAGGTTTCAACTTTTTGAAATGCAGTTTTTTGCTTGTGTTTCATGTTGGACTTCGTTCTCTTTGGTTTCCTTGCAGTTAGTAGTTTGGCTATCTTAGAGAAGTTATTGACGAATCTCCGATAGTAGCCAACAAGATCTAGAAATTAGAGCACTTTTGTTGGCGTCCATGATGCTTCCTAGTCCTTGATTTCTTTGATTTTTGTGGGATCCACATGTGTTCTTTTGTTGTTAAAGTTCCAACGTCCATTTCTTGGGAAGGAGTCTTCACTTAATCCTCCACATTTGATCAAATCCTTCATTTCTTGGGAAGAAGTCTTCACTTAATCCTCCACATTTGATAAAATCCCTCTTAAGGTTGCATTACTTGCGTTGAACAAAGAAGTTCACAAGAAATCTTTGTTTGATTTTTGGGGAGTGGGTATTGGCTCTTTCTTGTTAATTTGTTCACTTTTTTTGTAATAAATATACATTCTAAATGATTCGAATTTCTTCTTGGTAAATAGAACTAATGTTATCGAAGGTGAGGAGCTTGTTCTGATAAACCCTTATCAAGAAGTTTTTGTGATTCGCTTAATAGTTCACGCTCAATAGTTCTCGCATCTCCTAGCTTCTTTTTCTACCACATGTGTAGTGTTTCTTGTGTTCTATGCCTTTGTGTAGGAGATGATTTTTCGGTTTCGTTCTTTCTCGACATCGTAGGTGATCAAGGTTACTTTATCAGTTAAGGGGTTCATGTTTTCATAGTGCAATAACTTAATATAACACGGAAGACTTCAACTCATTTTAACATTGTGGAAAATTCTGAAAGTCATGGACGTAAAATTGATATAAAGTCGTGTTTGTTACGTGTTAGAATGCAATTTATTAAATTTTGTAAATAAACTTCTGACAGTTCACTAGTCGTCCCTAGTCTATCGGTTTCCTCCAGTCTACTGGATTTGTGTTTTGGCATGTATCTAATGTTCAAGGTTCATAAAATTCTTATGCATATTTGAATTAAAAGTACTTCAACATATGAATTTTTACATGTACCAGTTACTACTCATGGTTTTTGTGGATTTTATCTCTTGTTTAAATCATGATTGATTTAACTCGAGCTTCACTTACTGGCTTATTAACTTTGGGCAGTTCCTCCTAAAATTCCCCGATCTCACTGCATCCATAATAGGGTTTATTCCTACTAGTGCTTATCCTAGTATTTTCTCTAGCATTTGTACAGACGTTCGTTGATACAGATGTTGGGTTTCTACAATTGTTGGCAGTGTGACCCTTTTGTTGCACTTTTCGCAGGAGTAACATTCATCTTTGTGATGGTGGTGACCATGGTTGCATAATGGTTGTTTACTGGAATAATGTTTCTGTGGAGGGTCGGCGTCGCATGAATTTCTTTGGTGTTTTGCTTCTTTGGAGGGGTTTGGCTTGAGGTTACCATGGAATTATTATCATTTTTCCTTTTTTATCCTCATCCCTATTGGTATCCTCTTTCTTGATCACGATCTCTTGTTGAACCCTATGGTTTGTTAGAATAATGGCCAATCTTTTGGCATGGTCGTAGGTGTTGGGTATGAGGGATGTAACAATCTCTCGTATTTATAGGGTTAGACCTCTTATGTAGCTATCAATCATCTTGCTCTCTGGGTTTACAAAAACTAGACATAACATTGTGAGATCATAAAAACAGGATGTGTAGGCTAAAATTTCCGTTACTTTCATGGTTAAGCTTCATAGTTCTTTTTCCAGTTTCTGTATTTCATCCTGGGCAGTATTTTCTTATGAGCATTAGTTTTAGTTTTCCCGGTTGTGGCATAAGCTATGTCAATGCCAATATCTATTGTATATTCGTTCCACCAGGCAAGATATGCGTTCATGAAGGTGCATGTGGAAAACTTAACATGACAATTTTCTGTACAGGA